TAAGCTATTTGCAGACATAGTCACGTCGTAACGAGTCATTTGGTGTTTTGGACGTTGGTCTTGGCGATGCTGGAATAGGTGGTTGTCACACTTTAGAGCTTGGCTAATAGCTTCGTTGAGCGTTTGAGGATCAGGAAGAGATAACAGCAAGTCCTTCATATCATCCTTCAAGCCCCAATAAAACTGACTCACCAACCCCTCTTCACCCCAATTAATGTCACTTGCCAATTGTCTGAAATCCGAGGCATAGACTGATGCAGAGCGTGTTCCTTGTCGTAGCGATCGGATCTTTGTTGTAGCCCATCGAACTTTATCATGCTCGCCAAATGCTTCTGCAAACGCCTCCAAGAACGTTTCAAAGTTGCTCAGGATTGGCGATCGCTTCTCAAACAAGGGAGTAAACCAAGACAGAGCTTGTGCTATAAGCAAGGTTCCAACAAGCCCAACACGCGCTTCCTTCGTCGGATAACGTTCGGGCTGTAAAATTATTATCAACCTGATTTGGTTGACAAAACCTCAAAACTTGGAACGAGTTCCATCAAACTTATCCGGAAGACTAACTCGAGGCTCCTTTCGTTGTAGGACTACTCGATCTTGTTGAAATGGAGGTAGAACTGCTTCTTCTGGCGCAGAAGTTTGAGGCTGATATGCTTTAGATGGCGCTATCCCAGATGCTCCATTGTTATGGAATCCTACCATGACTCCTTCGATCTCTGTTGTCCTATGTGACAACGAGGCAAGAGCATTTATGATGGCGTCTAGTTTGGATTCCAAACTTTCAGCCATTTCAACGTCTTAACCTTCGGCTAACCTTCAGAAAGAAGAAAAAAGAGTTTTGACAAGAGAACAATATTGATTCAGAGGAGAGTACTCCGCAACCTCTAAAACGCCTTAAGACTCGAAGATGAGGGGTAATCCACTCTCTCCAAGAAGAATAAGGCTCTCATATTGAGAAAGAAGAGATATCAGTTTAGAGGAGGGTAATCCGCAACCTCTAAAACACTAGCACACCTTCAAGAAGAGGGGTAATCCACTCTCTAACAAGAAGGAACTAGCTCTGATACCAGTGAAAATGTAGTCTCGACAAACTGTCACGGATACAAAATACAGACAAGAAAACTAGACAAGAAGTTCAAGAAGAACTGGATTAATCAGATGAGTACAAGAACAACACCAGAAAGGTGAGCTAGAACTCCAAGAGATGTGTTGTCGAGACTGAAGAACCCTTCAGCCTCGACTCCTATATATACTACTGAATAGGAAGCTTCTCGAGCTACTTCCGCTAACTAAGACGCTTCTCCAACAACTTCTACTAATTAGGAAACTTCTCGAGCAACTTCCTAGAATCTATCAGAATATTCTAGAACCTTCTAAGAGAATCTTTAGGGAATATTCTAAGAATCTTCTAGAACCTTCTAAAGGAATCTTTAGAGAATCTTTAGAGAATATCCTAGAAGAATATTCAAAGAATCTTCCAATGTATGTCCATGACAGCAAGATTGGTCCAATTTTAAACCCTCCTTGATATTATAAGATAAAATTGAAAAATAGTTTCTCATCAAAATTATCAAAAAAAAACTTAAGTTGATATTTAGAAAGGAACATTTATAAATTAAGAATTAATTTAAAATCTAAGAAATAAAATTTCATGCCTATAATAAAAATATAGAAGGTTTTTTTTTTTTTTTTTTTTTTTTTTTTTTCAATTAAAGAATTAGATTAGTGAAAAAAAAACTTTGAAAAGATTCAAGATGTACTAAGTTTGAGTAATTTTGATTTGTGTAGATTTTGTATGAACTATGCAAAGACAAGGTTTGATTTGAATAAATATATTTTTTAAAAAACAAATTAGAGTTTAATTTTTTTTTTTTTTTTTTTTTTTATGTTTTTATGAAAAATATATAAATAAAATATTATAAATTTGTGCACATACTTGTATTAAGTTTGAATTCTAAATTTGATCTCATTTGATTGATCAAATTCAAAGTTATTGGAATTCAAGTGAATTAGAATATTAGTAAATAATACTTTGAAGGTTAATAAGGGTTTCTTAAATTTGCAACAATATGATGATTAGAATGAAGTAAAATTTCATAGGATAGTAGTTAACATAACTATCAATATTTTAAAAATCTTGAAAAATGTTTTATAGGTCAAGGAAGAGATCTTGGCATTGGAAGCTTAATATCAAGGTTAGAAAAAGAAGTTGGTTAACATCTTAGCAAATGATGTGTCATTTTTTAAAATTTGCACATATAATATTTTTTAATTTTTTAATTTATTTTTCAACTAAGAGATTAATAGATGTGAAATGTTTAAAAAAATTATTGTTAATTAAAAGATTACAAGGACTTTGATTTTCTATTAGATCTATTTAGGATTCATTAGGATTTAATAAGATTTTATTAGGATTTTTAAAGATTAATTAAGATTTATTTAATATTTTTTTAGAATTAATAAAGATATTTTTAGATTATTTGGATTTATTTTAAATTTTGTTAAAATTTATTTTAAAATAAATCAAGATTTTATTAGAATTTGAATATTATTTAGGATATAAAAGATGATAGAAGTAAAACTTTTTTGACCTAAAAATTCTAAAAGAATAATGTATGCAACTTCAAAATTAAAGCATAATTATATTATAAAATACTAATGCATTTTTCATTGTAAGATAACAATGTGAGCTTGTAGGAGTCTTTGTAAGATAAATTATTAGTTATGAGCAATTGCTGTGGATTTCAAACCATCCTATCAACTCATCATATTGTTTAAAACTTTTACTGCAAATACTATATACAAAGCATTGTTGAAATATAACACAAGTATTATGTGAAAGAATACATAAAGACCAATAATCTTGAAGTATTTTATTAATGATATAATAAAAAATCACTTAAGATTTATAGATTAAAATAAGAAAATAATAGAAATTTTAATATTAACATTGATTTTTTTATTGAAAAAACGTTTATTTGATTTGTAGTACCATAAGTAAGGCAAAATAAGATAAATTTGTCATAAAAAATACTACCAACACGTTTCGTTGAAAGTAAAGGATTATTTCTATAAAAAATTATCAAAAAAACTTAAGTTGATACTGTAAAAAGATTATTTATAAATAAAATTGAAATTAAATATTAAGGCAGAAAAGTGCACTCTCACTATATATTTTGAATTCTTTTGTTGATCAAATAATAGAATTAGATAAAAAACTAAAAAAAGATTTTACATGCATTGGTTTTAAATAATTGAATTTGTAATAACTTTGTAAGATCTATGAAAAGTCAAGCTTAGATTTGGATGTCTTTGTTTTTAAAAAATAAAAAAGAGCTGACATTTTAGAGAATTTTGTGAGTTTTGTAGCAAACCTAATAGTGATTTTTTTTGGATTTGTGTTATAAATTTGAACTTAGTTAGGCAATCAAATATAAATATATTAGAATTTAAGTAGATTACAGTATTGAAAATTAGAATTTTGAGGGCTAGTAAGGATATCTAAATCTTTAAAAATTTCTTTGTTAGATTGTAGTAAAATTTGAGGAATTAATAGCTAATCAAAACACTAATATATGTACAAATTTGGAAGTATACTGATGGTATAAGAATAAGAGCTTCAAATTGGGATCTCAACATCAAGATTAAAAAAAGAAGCCATCCAATATCTAAGAAGATTATTTGTCTTTTCTCTCAACTAATAAGTGTCATTCTTCTTAATTTTCTTCTGCTTATTTTCAAGTAGAAGGTTAAAAACTATAAAAAGTTTTACATAAAAGAAATAATTAATTTAGAATTTAAAATGATTTTAATATACTTTTGCCAAATATTTTTAAAGATGTATGGTGTAAATATATACCTTTCTACACAAATATTTGGGATTATGTCCAAATTCTTTGTATTGTTTAATTTTTCCTTAATTCAATCAAGAAGTACCTAGCCTATAGACAAGTATAGGTAGAACCACATTCTTGGATTCTTATTTGTTTTTAATTAATAATCTACTACAATTTTTTCTTAAATGTGTAATAATTTGTATGGAAAAGTGGAAGCTAAAGAAGAAAACAAAAATGTTTTTATAATTCTAAAAAAATATGCATTTGCATCATTTGTTAAATATACCAATTTATTGATTATTAAAAAAATCTTTCAGCTTAAAATTATAAATTCCATAATATGAATCCAAACTTTATTTTGTGAACTAGATGTGTACTATGGCTATATGCATTAATGTTGTTTAGAAACTGAACCTATTCCTCACTATCCACTCATGCATAGAAATGAATAACTTTGATTTAACTGTAATATTCACATGTTTAATTATTAAGCTTTGTGTGTATGCTTGGAGGCTCATTTCATTACTTGTGGGCAAGCAATTCTATCCACCTCCAATCAACGAATCTCCACAAGGGACGTCTATGTATAGTAGTGCACCCCGTCAGAGCACTCCCCATGGCTCACTCACAATCTCTAAAATACATGTAACCACCCGTTCGCCTTATTTGCTATCCCTTAGTATTGAATTTCAATCACACAATAACAAGTATGTCCATAGCACTCCTCCCAAATGGATAAACAAACGAACCCTCTAATGTGCATTTCTAGCTTATGTATTGGGATGCCTCAAAAGCAGCGAAAAGGACAGAAACCAAAACCCACACAAAGCTCCAGGTTCAGCGCAGCAGTGCCAGCAACGCAGACGTAGTCCACGTCAGCGGAGGTGGGGGAGAGAAAGCAGGCGTGGCCCCATCGCAGTGGGCGACCATGCGGGTGTCGAGACCCTGGGCGCGCCTCCGAAGGTAGGCGCAGCGTCCACCACCGCCCCTGCGGGTGTGCCGCGGCTGCTATTATTGGGAGTGTAGATCGCGAGCTTACGATCGCCGCATGTCCCAAAGCCGCCACTGTCCACCGTTCATCCAACATTCCTATGCGCAACCCGTGAGACTCCCCAGGGAACCTATCTCTATCAGTAGCGGCCTACCTACTCGGCGTCATCTGCTAGCAATCACGAGGGAGACCTCAGTCACTCTATCTATCTCTCTCTTGCGCTCTCACCCAGCTGATCATTCGGATCGCCAAAAGGCGGCCGGCAACGTTGTCTGCAGCTCCTGGAGACCTGGTACAAGATTCCATTCGCATGGGCGGACACCGCGGGGTTTACAAGTCGAGGTGTGTTGGTTCTCGTCGAGTGTTGGCGGAGTTCATTCCCTGTACCGTGGGATCCTGGGAATACGATTGCACTTTTAATTTTTTTCGGCTTAGCTGCTTGGTTTGCGTGAGGATATTTCTCCCCAGTGTATATAAGTGGAGTAGCAGGAGGTGGGACGAGAACGAGGGAGTCGGATGCTCGATGGGGAAGCAAGAGGTGCTGCCGAAGTCCGAGGAAACGTGTCTTCTCAGCCCCAGCTTGTATGTTGACGGAGCTAGGTCCGAGGTAAAGCAACAGCAGGGTGACATAGCCAAGCGTAGCTTCAGGAGGATTTGTGTCTTCTGCGGGAGTAGTCGTGGCAAGAAGGACATTTTCAGCGACGTCGCGTTCAAACTTGGCCGAGAATTGGTCGGTGTTTCGTTCCCTGGATATCCCTCAACCAGCTTGAAAATTCTTATTTATTTATTTCGTGTAACAATAATGTAGTCGATTAAGTGGGTAGAGCTGTCGATACCAACGGCACGAATGCATGTCAGTCGCTCATTTGCTTTTTCACTGCTTTCGCTGCCTGAGCCCAACGTAGCTGCTGGCGGGAAGCCAGGTTGTGTGAGTGACCCCTGGCATGCCAGTCCGCAGATCGACAAGTTGTTGAGTTTTTCCGTCGTGCTCCGTTCACTGTTTCGAAACTGACACTGTGGAATTGATCATGACGACTTGAGATCAAATGATGTGTCAATACTGCAGCTGCCTGGCAGTAGCACTAGAGTGTTCTCATGATGCTGGGCCAACCACCCGGAAATCTGACGTTTCGAACCTCCTCTAAGTGATGAGTATATAAAAATCACAGTTTAGACCTCAAGATTTGAAGAGCTCTTCAACTCGACGAGTGCTGAGCGCTTATCGTCTGTCATTACGTTAACTGATAGTTAGAATTAGGTGCGAAGCTTGAGTTGATCCTTCGGTGGTATCTCCTGCAGGTTCGTGTATATTTTGAGAATTCTCTTAGATAAGAACAGGTCTAGACATTATGAGTATCTTTTTATTTTTATCCCGAGTCGTCTACTTTCCAAGTTATCTTATGATCCACTGTTAATATCCACTGGATTATAACGTTTACATAGTTCCACGAAGTTTTAAATTTCTTCATTAATTCACGGTAGTGTGAGGCGTGATCTTGTGCAGGTCAGCAGGAAAATAGATCTCGTGTACGGTGGGGGAGGCAATGGATTGATGGGCCAAGTGGCGCAGTCTGTGCATGACGGAGGCGGTCACGTTATAGGGTACAGTATTTTGCTTATTTTCGAAAGGAATCTGTAACACATTGACATTGACGGCGTAATTTCTTCGTGGACCTCCCAGAACTCGTCGAGTCAGTAGGTTGAACTCAAGGAACAATGGTCTGATTAAGTTTCGCAAATTTATCTATAGTTGACCCTCTACCGGTCGGTTGATTCAAATTCTTGGAAGGTGGTTGAATCTGGTCTAAATACACATTCGTCAAAGTGAAATGTATGGCAAGCTGTGTTTTTTTCCAGGTTCGATAATACTTAGCTTCATGTGCTATAACAGGAATATCTAACAGGAATGTATTGTTGTTGGGGCTGCTTTTGGTTGGCAGTGTGATACCCAAGGCGTTGATTGGCCAAGAGGTAGACCACACATTCTTACTTCCTTTTTTTTCTTTTTTTTTCTCTCCCTCTCTTTTTAGCATACCTGTATTCTCAATATCAGTGGCATTCTCTAGGTACGGCTTTCTAGTACTCTAGACCTTGCAACATTGACAGGAGACTGTTGTTCTCTATGGGAACGCAGCTTACGGGTCAAACAGTGGGGAGGTTGGTCGCAGTAAGGAACATGCATCAACGGAAGGCTGAAATGGCTCGACAAGCTGATGCCTTCATTGCTCTTCCAGGTTATGCCAAGTTTTCCCTTTATTTTTTCATTCTGAAGTTTCATTTTCTACGTATGCGTATATTTGGCGCAGGATTCTGAGGTCACACATGCTGATGCGAATCAAATCATTAGAAGTATATCGCCCACCAAATACTCTTCACTAATAAATCTTCAATTGCAGGCGGTTACGGTACACTGGAGGGGCTGCTTGAGGTCATCACTTGGTCCCAACTCGGCATTCATGAGAAGCCTGTAAGTTGGCATCTCTACCATCCTGCAATTCAACGTTTCGGTGAGGATTGTTCCTAAGATTTCACATAGCAGTAGTAACTTCGATGTTAACCGGGTTGCGAGTTCAGTCGATCATTGGCTTTATATTCCTGAACCCCGAGAGGATGGTGACGTCTTCTTACTGTTTCGTATTGGAAACTCAAATGAGCTACTGAGAATGAGTCTTTTTGCTTTCGATCAGGTGGGTCTACTCAACGTCGATGGTTACTACAACCCACTTTTGACACTCTTCGACAATGCTCTGGAGGAGGGATTCCTAAAGCTTTCAGCTCGGAGCATTGTAGTTTCAGCACGAACTCCAAGTGAACTGCTAGACAAACTGGAGGTTTGCATGCTTCTGATGCAGCATTCATCTTCACACCAGCCAATCTATATGATGCTATGTGGTCCTTAGTGAACATTGTCCACACTTCTGTATTCTTTCAGCGGCTACAAACCTGATACGACTTGTTTCACTGTGCCTTGTGCAGGCATATACACCAACCCACGATCGAAGCACCCCCAAGCTTTGCTGGGAGGATACCGAGAGCCTTGTCTACCCATCTGCTGTTTCTGGCACAGATCAACGGTGTTGATAATGTGGGTGCATCAGAACCTCAAATTTTGAAGGCGAAAATCTTACTGGATTTTTTTTAACAAGAAACTTCCAAAGTGATGAGCAGTGTGGGCTTTGATCCGGCCTCGACATGTGCACATGAAGACGGTGTAGAAAATGCTTGCACCATGCCTAGTGGCTGTTTTTCACCACCTCTCAGAGCTGATTGGGTCCACCAGATTACCCTGATTTCGATAGAAGCTGCGGTGGACATGTCGTAGCATCCTGACTGTATGCTACTGAATAACTGTAAAAATCTACCGACTTGATGTCTCTTGAAAGCATATCTTTGCCAGTTTCTACTGTTTTTTGAAGTTGGCTTAAACTCTACGAGGAAACTTTCTTGACGTGCTCTTAAGGTGGGAATTGAGAAGCTTCCAGATCCCTTGCAATCACAACCGTGCCACATTTTTTGATGAGTATTCTTTCAACATAATCTGATACTTTTACTAGATATATATATTTTTTATAAGATTGATATTTACTTTAAAAAAATACTTTAAAAAAAATAAGATCACTTGCAACAATTTGCACAAAACATCTCTAATGCAAACTATTGAGAGCATTAAATGTAGTTGGAGCTCTCCATAATATTTACAATAGACTATAATAAATACCATAGCTACAGTATTTAGAGTCTCGTGGAAAAGAACTGTTTATTCTCTCCTGTATACAAGATATAACCAGATCAATAGATTTTTATGTGTGAAGCTCTCTCTCTTTAGAAACCCTCTTGTGTGTATGACTTGCTACTACTCTTGTATGTGTGTATTACTTATTACTATTCTTGTATCTTTCTAAATATTCTCATTATGAGCACGACTCTCTTCTACACACTATCACAATTTTTATTTTTTATTTTTTATTTTTTATTTTGCTTTAGTCTTGATTTTGAAAACATGTTGCTACTCTTTGCTCAGTGTTTGCTTCATGATCTTGCTGCGCTTCTTGCTCGTCCCTCACACATTAGCTGCTTACTTAGAACACTTGTTCCACTCTCTGCCTTACTTGTTTAGAATACTTGCTTAGAATACTTGACCTAGTCCAGCTTGCTCCTTACTGTGCCTTGCGCCTGCCGCCAAGCAACCGCCAAACTGTCGCTATTGTTGCTACCGCCCTACTACTGCCGCAGTTGCCCGTTGTCGTCGCCCTACCGTCGCTGCCACCCTGTTGCCCTATCGCTGCCTGCTATCGCCGTCCTACTGCTATTCTATTGCTTTAATCCATAATCTTAATAATAATAATAATAATAATAAAATAATATTTTTATTTTTCAAGTTCAAGTTTATCATTTTATTTGATTTAATATTTTAAAGTATATTTTATTCAACTTTTCTACTTGATCTTGTATTTTCTTTACAAATTTATTTATAATGAGTGCTTCAACATCTTCAACTGCTTCTATTATGGTTTCAACTATTACCAGTGCATTCCAACATTTTCAAACTCTTTTATTTCCATCATTGAGTGTGGATGAAAACAATTATGTATTATGGGAAAAAATGGCAAAAGCAAATTTATTTGTAGAGCAACTCTCGGATGCCATTATGTTTGAAGAATCTCGTACAATAAGTATTTCTATTCTTCCTGCTATTCATTGGAAAGCACTTCTTTTCCTTCGTCGTCATCTTGTACCTATATTACAACATCAATATTTGGAAATGGAAGATTCTACAAAACTTTGGAAAAATCTTAAATCCAGGTTTGATCATTAAAAGACCATTTTCCTTCTACACGCATGTCATAATTGGACACATTTACATGTCTTGGATTTTTCAAATTTAAATGCCATCAATAGTGAAATGTATAGTATTGTCTCACAATTACGATTATGTGGACAAAGCATCTTTGAAGAAGAAATGATTGAGAAAACTCTCTCTACATTTCTTCTTATATCTACTCTGCTTGTACAACAATACATGAACATGAAATTTGAGAGTCATTCTGATTTCATGTCCTATCTACTTCTTGCAGAGAAGCAAAATGAGCTATTCTTGCGCAATGGAGAAGCTCGTACTATTGGAACTACAATTCCACAATCTCATGCACTTAATATTTCAAAGTCTAAGAAAAAATTATATAAACATGGGAAATATGCTCATAAGTATTGGGGTAGTCATAGTCATGACCATTTCTACCCATATGGAAAGAATAAACGTTCTACTATTAATTATAGTAGAAAACAAAAATCAGAGATGCATTCTTGCCATAAGTGTAGAATGATTGGATATTTAGTATATGCATGCCGTACTTCAAAATATTTTATTAAAATGTTTCAAGAAAATAAGAAACTATGAGATAAGGCTCATGAAGTTCATACTATGGATGCGTTGATGGATTCAATTGGTGTTGATGACTTAGAAGCTTATATGAATGACAAAACCTCTAATGATGAATCAAATGATGCGCTCATTGATTCTGTAACAACACATATTATCTTATGAGATAGACAATTTTTTATTGAAAAATCTTCAATTTGGCAAATTAAAAATATAATAACCATGGCTGGAACAAATGCGTTTTATTTCCAAGAAGGCACAGCGATGGTAAAATTATCTACGGATTCCATTATAAAATGTAAATATGCAATGTTTGCACCCTCAGCATATCAAAGTCTAATTAGCTACCGAGATGTGCGTATTAATCGTTATCACATCTCGACCGCCATTTTAAATAGAAAAGAGGTTTTTGTTCTTGCGAAGAACCATAAATTTGTTGAAAAAGCTTTTGCTACAAAAAATGGTTTATATTGAATTGTGATTCGGCCTCCCATTATATTTAATTTTACATCATCTATCACAGAGAGTCATTTTTCTCTCTAGCATGGACGATTGAAACATCCAGGATGTATATTATTTATAAAGATCATTCCATGTATAATTAGGCATAATTTAAAGCCTATAAATGTAGACTCTATGGAACTATGTCGTGCATATGTGCAAGGTAAAATGATTACTCAGCCTTCAATTTGGCAACTCCCACAAGAATTACCACCAATGCTTGAAAGATTGCATGGTGATATTTGTGGTACTATTAATCCAATATCGGGACCATTTCATTATTTTTTAGTCCTTGTTGATGCATCAGGTAAACAATCACATGTTTCATTATTATCAACTCAAAACATGGTGTTTTCCAATCTTATATTTATGCTTATTTGTTTTTGGACACATTTTCTTGATTATCCTATAAAAACATTGTGTATGGATAATGCAAAAGAATTTGCATCAAAGTCTTTTGAAGACTATTGTACTGCAATAAGAATTGAGTTGATGTATTGTGTTCCATATGAACATACTCAAAATGGACTTGTAGAGTCATTTATAAAGTGTATACAATTCATTACCCAACCGCTCTTCCTTCACGCAAATTTACTTGCATCTATGTAGGATCATGCAGTTTTACATGCTGCACCATTAATATTCTTCCGCCCTTCTTTTCTTGAAATTGTTTCACCACATGAGCTCATTTCGAGTTGTGTTCCAAATGTATCTCACTTGTGAGTATTTGGTTGCCGTGCTTGGATTCCAGTACCAAAATCTCAACGACGTACCATTGAAACTCATCGACAAGAAAGCATATATGTTGGTTTTGATTCACTAAGCATTATTCGTATTATTGATCCATCAACTAGCATATTATTACGTGCATATTTGCAAAATTGTCATTTTGAAGAAAATGTATTCCCATCTTTTTAAGGAGGAGTATCCAATCAACAAAGAAATAAAGTACTCATATTTGAAGCACCAGAAACATTTGCAATGAATCCTGATCTTAGGACATCTTTGGCAAAAAGTGAAGTTGCTAAGATTTTGCATCTAAAACGGATTGCAGATGAAATACTTGATGGCTTTAATGTTGCATCTAGAATTACAAGAGTTCCTATTAATGAGGCTTAGAATGCACCTGCTCCGATTGCAGTGCCATTGACTATAATACCTTAAGTTATAACAACAATAACTAAAAGAATTCGTGGACTAGATAAGCAACCACATAAGAAGAAAGCTATAATATTGACTAATTCTTGTATTATTTTTCAAGAAATTGTCACTCATCCTGTAGAACTACCAATTCATGATGATATATCCATGCATAATGTATCTTAAATTCCTATGAAAAACAATCTTGCAATTAGAAGGAATAAGAACAAGTTGAGTAAAGAATTATCTATTCTCTATTGTACTACAGATGATATTTGGGACAGACCATCTATTATGGTAGATGAATCATTTGCATATATGATTATAGAAGCCTTTTCTTGCGAGGAAGACAATCCTGAACCTCAAACCATTGAGGAGATGATGCATCACTATGATTGATCAAAATGAAAAACTGCTATTGAGGAGGAGTATGCCTCTTTGCATAAGAGGAAAGTCTTTGGTCCAATTGTAGACACTCTTATATCTCGACTTGTAGAATATAAGATGGTATTAATATGCAAGCAAGATGCTCAAGGTCAAATAACCCACTATAAAGCTCGTCTTGTTGCTCAAGGATTTACTCAACAATTTGGTATTGATTATGAATCCACATATTCTCTAGTCATGGATTCAATTATATTTTGATATATTATTGGAGTGGCAATTCATGCCACCTTTAATATGCATCTGATGAATGTAGTAAATCCATATCTATATGGTTCTCTTGATGCAAATATTTATATGAAAGTTCTACTTGCTTTTGAAATATGAACTCCAAATGGACCCGATCCAAGACAATATTGTGGTATTAAATTATGTAAAGCCTTCTATGTTTTAAAATAATCTAGACACATGTGGTATCAACGTCTTCAAGATTATTTAATTACAAATAAGTTTATAAGTAATCCACTAATCCCTTATTTGTTTATCAAACAAGATAAAACTGGTTTTGTGATCATCGCTGTATATGTTGATGATTTTAAGCTAGTGGGCACTACATCTGCATGTGTTACAGCTACTAACTTACTTATACATGAATTTGAGATGAAAATACTAGGAAAAATAACTTTTTGCATTGGTCTTCAGATTATGCATGTAACAGATGGTAGCATTTTTCTCTACCAACTAATGTATATTAGACAAATCTTGTGAAGATTTAATATGATTGATGCTTATCCATTGTCCACACTAATGGTTGGACGTAGTCATGATGGTCATGATCCATATTGTCTATGCGATGAAGAGGAGGAAATATTGGGAGATCAATATCCATACCTTGCAGCAGTTGGAGCACTTTTATATTTAGCTACATCTACAAGACCAAATATTACATTTGCAGTTAGTGTTCTTGCAAGACATAGTGCACGTCCAACACTATGACATTGTAATGGCATCAAATATTTATTAAAT